GGGGGGGGGGGTGGGGGGGGGGGGGGGGCGGCGGGGGGGGGGGGGGGTGGGGGGGGGGTGGGTGTGTGTGTGTGCGGTGGGTGGGGAACGTGCCCAGGCACCCAGGCAGACAGGGGCACAAGACGGAGACATGTACAGGCAGACACACAAAGATGAGGGACATGCCCAGGCAGACACAGGTTCTTCCTAAATTAAGCATCAGTGCCTGCAGGACTTGGCACATTAGAGTGAAATGTCAGGAGGGAAGAGAAACATTGGGGCACTTTGCCCTTTGCCATGAAATGGTGGAAGGACTGCGGAGAACACCATAGACGCCAGCAGCACCATTCCTTTGGGAAGCAGGGCAGCGCATACACAGTCAGCTCCCCCTTGTCATTCGAGCTGGAAGCCCCTTAGGCAATAGAGATGGGGAGCTGGATCAGCCATCTGCTGAGGACAGGTACAAAACAACAAAAATAACACTCCAAATCCCCGAGGGGGCAAAACCATTTGTTTGCTTTCTTCTCTTAAACAAAAGCGTCTCTCCACACTGAGCAGCGACCCTCCCCTCATCAACAGTGGCATTAGGGGACCCTCCTCCAACCCTCCCCCCGCCACAGAGATAGTAGGAACTGCAGATGCTGGAGAATCTGAGACAACAAGGTGCGGAACTGGATGAACACAGCAGGCCAAGCAGCATCATAGGAGCAGGAAGGCTGACGTTTCAGGCCTAGACCCTTCATCAGAAATTTTCTGGTGAAGGGTCTAGGCCCAAAACGTCAGGCTTCCTGCTCGGCCTGCTGTGTTCATCCAGCTCTGCACCTTGTTGTCTCTCTCTCTCTCTCTCTCTCTGCCCCCCTGCCACAGATAGCCGAGGAGCTGATCAAATCCAATGGGGCAAACCCAGAATGACAGGAGAATGATGATAGGTTCCAGGCGTTTTATGGGACAGAGATACACAGAGTCAATAACCACTCTATAGGATCAAGGCTTATCATTCAACTCAGTCCCTTGTTCCCTGCTCTCTTTCCCCTTAACACTTTGATCCTCTTAGCTCTAAAGAACTATATGTAACTTCTCAAAAACATTCAAAACGTTGGCTTTGATCTCTTACTGTGGCAGAGAATTGCCCAGGTTCCCCGCTCTCTGGATGAAGACATCTCTCCTCAGCTCTGTCCTAACTGGCCTACCTCGTTTTTTTAAACTGTGGTCCCCTGCTTCTGGACTCCCCGGTCATCGGGAACATCCTTCCTGTGTTTCCCCTGTCTAGTCCTGTTAGAATTTTATCGGTTTCTATGAGATCCCTCCTCATTCTTCTAAACTCCAGTGAATATAGTCCTAACCATTCCGGTCTCTCTTCACACGTCAGCCCTGCCATCCCAGAATCAGTCTGGTAAACCTTCACTGCACTCCCTCCATCACTAGAACATCCTTCCTCAGACAGGGAGACCCCAAAACAGCGCGCACAGTACTCCAGGCGTGGCCTAACCAAGGCCCCAGTACAGCTACAGCAAGACATCCCCTGCTCCTGTACTCGAACCCTCTCACCATGAAGGCCAACATCCCGTTGGCCACCCTTACCACCTGCTCCACCTGCAATGCTTATTTGAAAGAGAATTGGATCGATAAAGAATTGACGAGCTCGGTTCTATGTTCTAATTAAAAAGCTGGGAAACGGCTGGTTTGTGATACTGGATTGGAATTTATTGAGCTCCCTCACACAAAAAAAAAAGAGTAGGCCATTCAGCCCCATCGAGGCTGCTCTGCTAATCAATAGAGCCATGGTGGATCTGACTGTAACCTCAACACTTTCCAGTCTGCAACCTCCTCCCCTCTGAAATACTCAACTCCCTCTAATTCGGACTCGACATCCTGCTCTCTGGGTGGGGGGGGCGGAATTCCACAGACTCCCCACCCTCTGAGAGAAGGCATTCACCCTTATCACAGTCTTCAAAGGAGACCCCTTCTTGCTGAAAGTGTCCCCTCCCCTCATTCCAGTTGCCTTCCCCCAGCAAGAAGGGGAACATCCTCTCAGCCTCTGCCCTGTCAAATTCCCCCTCAGGATCTGCCATCAGCCTCTCGTTCTCCGATGGGACCAGGTCTAACCTGCTCACCCTCTCCTTGGGAGAGACCCCTTCATCCTATGAAGCAGCTGAGGGAAGTTTTTCTGACCTGCCTCCAGCGTAAAGCATTCCCCTCCTTCGCTGAGGGGGCCAGAAGTCTCCAAGGGTGAATTTAATTTTAAAAGTGCCCTGCTCAGACATATTTTGGTACTTTCTGGAATTTCACTCAAAACAAAGACCAGCAGCTTGAACACACTTCACCTGCTGATGTCCTTTGGTTCAGACCCAAAACAGAGGTGCGCACGCACGCGCACACACACACACAGAATAAAGATTCATTTTTAGCTGGCCGTCTCACAAATTCAAAATTTCATTTTTGCTCAGAGCGGGGTCTAGGTGGCCTGGTACATGAATCTATCGATGATGGAATGCGGGAACTTACTGGGAAGGCCAAAGGAACACTGGCCTTTATTCCAACTCAGTCAATGGTGCGTGTGTGTGTGTGTGTGTGTGTGTGTGTGTGTGAGACGGTGGATATTTCACCCCTCATGAAGACATGGAGGGCACAGGTTCAGAATGAGAGGGTCTGGGGTCTCCCACTGATGACGGAGATGGGGAAGAATGTATTCTCTCAGAGAGTGGGGAATCTGTGGGATTCTCACCCCTGGCATCTGGGTCAGAGAATATATTCAAGGCTGCGTTAGAGAGAGTTTTGATCGCATTAGAGGAATTAAGAATTATTGGGAGGGGCCGGGGGGAGTCTTTTTTGTCCCGGTATTTATGTAAATACAGTTTTGCAGACAGCGAGAGCGAGGCACGGCAGGAGTCTCACATACATCCCAGGGCTTGTTGTGTTGGGGAAAAAATAAATGCCTGACTAAGCTGTATTGCGACATTGATGTTGAAAACAAGCCAGGAGCTCTCAGTCCAACCCCCAGCTTCCTGTCAGCTGCTCAGAACACAGCTCTGACCTAAAGGCCCTGTGAAGTTATTCAACAGTAAACACTCTCTCTCTCTCTCTCTCTCTCTCTCTCCCCACCTCCCCCCACTCCCCAACAACCTCTCCAGTACATGACACAAAGGAAATACGGATTTTTAAAAAAAAAATCCATTATAAGACAAATGGAATAACATCAGGTTGGATAAGTTGTTGGAGGTGCCAGGTCAGGTCGAGAACGTAGTTAAATAAAGTAGATCGCACCACAGGCTTTATCACATCAACAAGCAGAGAGCAGGGAAGTCGCTCTGAATGTGCATCAGACACTGGTTCTCAGCCTCAGCTGGAGGGCTCTGGGCTGCACACTCTGAAGGCATAAGGAAGGAGTGGGGCAGGGGGAAGACAGAATAGACTACAGGGATGGATTGGGATTGGGATTGGGTGGGGGGAGGCGGGGGCAGAAGAGAGCTATTGGAGTGCCACAGGGATCAGTGCTGGGACCACAATTACTTACAATATATATTACGCACATGGATATGGAAAGTGAATATACTGCTGTCATGTTTTCAGATGACTTAAACTGACCAGAAGAAACAGGCAGAGTTGGAGCCCCTCGAGCCTGCTCCACCATTCAATAGGATCATGGCTAATCCAGCATTCCTCACATACATTTGCCACATTTTCCCTGTAACCCCCCATTCCCTGACTGGTCAAGAATCTATCTCAGCCTTAAATATACACAAGGACTATTTCCCCACAGCTGTGTGGCAGGGAGTTCCAAAGACTCTCAACCCTCAGAGAAGAAATTATCCCTCATCTCAGTGTTAAATTGGTGCCCCTTTATTCTGAGACTATACCCTCTAGTCCTAGACTCTCCCGTAAGAGGGAAAACATCCTCTCAGCAATTGACCCTGTTCAACCCCTTAAGAATCCGACATGTTTCAGTGAGATCACCTCTCATTCTTCTAAACTCCAGTGAGTACACTCCCAACCTGTTTAACCTTCACTCATAAGGCAATCCCTCCAAACTGGGGATTATTGTAGAGAACCTTCTCTCAACTGCCCTCAATTAAACAATAACTTTCCCTAAATAAGGGGTCAAACACTGCTGACAGTACTCTAGATATGGTCTCACCAGTCACCATGTACCGCTGCATTCAGACTTCCCTACTCTTATAACAAAAACAAAGTTGCTGGAAAAGCTCAGCAGCTCTGGCAGCATCTGTGAAGGTAAAAGCAGAGTTAACATTTCGGGTCCGGTGACCCTTCCTCAGAACTGATGGTGCCTGGGAAAACGTCAGTTTAAATGCAGAAAAGAGAGAGGTAGGTGGGGTAGGGAGTAAACAATAGGTTAGAGCCTGAAGAGAGAGAACAGCAGTTGGACAGACAGAGAGTTGCTAACAATCAGGCTGGGAGGATGAATAGTTGTTAATGGGGACTATCAGTGACTAACAACTGTGTAATGGCAGGCTGTGTGGTAACAATGCCTGGTGTGTGGGGTAGGGGGCCAGGACATGGGAGAGTTTAGGCCCTAAAATCAGGCACTATTTCTGCCACCTCTAGCAAGATGCCACCACTAGAGACATACTCCCCTCCCCTGTCCACCTTCCGCAGGCACCGCTCCCTCCGGGACACCCTGGCCCACACATTCTTCACCCCCAACACCCCCCACAGCCCTACGGCACCTTCCCCTCTAACCGGCGAAAGCAATGCTTCACCTGCACTTCCCAGAATCTAGTCTACTGCATCCGCTGCTCACAGTGCGGTCTCCTCTACAGTGGGGAAACGAAGCGTAGACTGGGTGACTGCTTTGCAGAACATCTACGTTCTGCTCGCAAAAAAGACCCTGAACTACCTGTTGCCTGCCATTTTAACGGACCACCCTGTTCCCTGGCCAACATCTCTGTCTCTGGCTTGCTGCAATGTTCCTGCGAAGCTCAACGCAAGCTTAAAGAACAACACCTCATTTTCCGCTTGGGGATCCTGCAGCCCTCCGGACTCTATACAGAGTTCAGCAATTTTAGGGCCTAAACCCTCCCCTGTCCCAGCCCCCTACCCCACGCACCAGGCCTTGTTACCCCACAGCCTGCCATTACACGCCACCTGTTATTAGTCACTAATAGTCTCCATTAACAACTATTCATCCTCCCAGCCTGATCATTATCAACTGTCTGTCCAACTGCTCTTCTCTCTCTTTAGGCTCTGTCCTATCATTTACTCCCTACTCCATCACCTTCCCTTTTTCTGTATATAAACTGATGTTTTCCCAGCCACCATCAGTTCTGAGGAAGGGTCACCGGACCTGAAACGTTAACTCTTGTTTTTTTCCTTCACAGATGCTGCCAGGCCTGCTGAGCTTTTCTAGCAACTTCTGTTTTTGTTCCAGATTCACAGCATCCGCAGTTATTTCGGTTTTCCCTACTCCTACACGCCAAACTTCTTCAAATAAGGGCCAACATTCCTATCACCTATCCTGATTACCAACTGCCTCCAGTGTGCTAGCTTTCTGTGTTTTATGCACAAGTTACCCACCCCCCACAGTCCCTTTGTGTTGCAGTCTTCTCTATTTAAATTACATTGTCCTTTTGTTCTCTCTCCCAAAACAAACAATTTTGCATTTTCCCCCATTATACTCCAAGTTGGAAGACAAGTGGTGAGGATGACACACAGAGTCTGCAGGTGGATACAGACAGGTTAAGTGAGTGGGTAGAAGTTTGGCAGATGGAATATAATGTGGGGAAAAGTGAGGTTATGCACTTTGCCAGGAAGAATAAAAGGGGGTGAATATTATTGAAATGGAGAAAGACTGCAGAAAGCTGCAGAACAGTGGAATCTGGGAGTTTCTATCCATGAACCACAAAAAGCTAGCAGCCAAGTTTTAGCGAGTAATAGGGAAAGCACATGGAACGTTGGCCTTTGTTCCAAAGGGAATGGAGTATTTAAGGAGGGTTTAGCTAAAACTGTACAAGGCACTAGTCAGACCACAGCTGGAATACTGTCAACAGTTTAGGGTCCTTTATCTGTGGAAAGATAGACTGGCGTTTGAGCCAGTCCAGAGAAGGTTCACTTGGCTGATCCCAAGGATATAAGGATTGGCTTATGGGGAGAGGGTGAGTACGTTGGACTTGTAATTGTTGGGGTTTAGAAGAACGAGAAGCGACCTTATTGAAACAGACGAGATTCTTTGGGGGACTTGACAGGGCAGAAGCGGAGAGGTTGTTTCCCCTTGTGTGGGAGAGGCTAGGACCAGAGGGGCATCGTCTCAGAGTAAGGGGGTCACCCATTGGAGACTGAGATGAGGGTTGGGGGGGATTAGGGATGAACAGTGGCCCAGTCAGCAAGGCCGACGTCCCCACACAAATAAATAAAGACAGGGATCGATTGTAACTGATTTCTATGGCTCTCTGGGGGCTTTCTGCTACCATTCACAGGGAGAGACAGGTATTCCCCAACCCTGAGTAAGTACACATTTGTCTTTAACATTATACTAAACTGAGATGAGGAAGAATTCCTTCTCTCCGAGGGGAGTGAATCTGTGGAATTCTTTACTGTAGAGGGCTGTT